AATGTGAATTATAGGGTAATACGCCCGCGCGCGATCCAAAAGCGGGGAACACATAGGTTTGTCGCGTCAAAGGGATCTGTTGCCGAGTGATCTCCTTCTCAATAATACCTCCATGGTATAACATAGGCACGATGTCATGGCTCCTGATTTTACGTGTGAGTATTTAAATTTATTCCATGTTTTTCACCAAAAACTTAAGAAAATCTGGCATGTAAAGTTTACATGGCTATAAATAATTTTTGCAATTTTTTGAAACATTGCAACTTGCTCCATGTTATTACTATTTGACTTCTGCATTATCCTCTAAAAAATCTCTGACAACTGTTCCGGTAAAAATTTTATTTAAGTTTAAAAATGACCGTGTTTGGCCTTTGAAATACACGTGTTTAGCTTAGACAGGCCTAGCATGTCTACCTTTTAGACGTTTATGGCGTAATAAATAACGCAGACAAGATAACTAATATGTTTTAAACATATAATTAAAATGTTTCTAGCAGTCTTCCATAGGCAAAACTAGGTCTAGGCTCCCTAAAAATAGCCTTACGCCACGGGAGGGTAGGTTGCCGCCTAGGCTTAGGTGAAAGTAAACAATGTTTGGCCCGAAGGGTATTTAAATCTTAAGTATACGTGGTATGCTCTCACGTGAAATAGTCCTACGCTAGGCATAGTCTATTCGCTATAGACATATTTTTAGGATTATTCAGACCCCAAGTTTTATAAAAACCTTTATCTTGTAATTTTAAAATGTCCAAAAATATTTGATTATTATTATTATTATTATTACTAGAAATTGCAAATTACAAATGAAGTGCTGCGAAGTACAACTGCATATAAATGTTCTTTGAACAAAATTATTTATGCGAGTAAAGTGAAAATAATAAATAATAAAACTATAACAAATAATATGAGACACGACCCATTGTCTATGAGAACACTTCTCATTGGGTAACAAAGTCGTAATTTTTCATTTTTGTCAAAAAGTGTCTATAGTGTGGTAAATTATGGCTTAGGTTTTTTTAAATAAAGTTTCAAAAATTTCTATGTATGTGGAAAATGTAGTTGATTACCAATGGTTACAATTTTTAATTTGAAGACTGCATGTTCTTGGAAGTGTACATTTTTTTTATGGGGCAAGTTTCAAAGGGCGGGTTTTCTGGGCGAGTTGACTGCCAAAGAGTGTTGCCAAAGTGCGAGCCAGCGTGTTATTTGATCACAAGTGCGAGACATATCACAAGTGTGAGCCAACGAGCCATGACGTCACGACAATAGATAGAGACGTTAGCCAGTTGTGCGAGGTATCGACTGAGATTTGTGGAGTACAATTCAAAAAACAACTATAGGTTATTGTGATGTTAAATAGACAATGTTAGCTATCAAAGAGCGACGTTGTTTTTCATTGGGACCTTCGTCCCTTCAAGGCTAGGCCTATATGCCATCCTAGCTAGTCTAGGCCTAGAGTAGGATAAGGCTAACGCGACATGCGGACGTTGGTACGAGTATGTTAGTCTACAAACGTCGCCTAAAGTAATTGATTTTACACGGCAGAACGAAAGAAGGAAACTCCGCTTTTCAGTCGTCTTATGCGCTCGTTTTTTGACAAACAATGACCTTTCAGAGGTCAAATTGCTGTCGAGAATATGAATTGGCTGCTTCGCAGCAATTATTATTATTATTATTATTATTATTATTATTATTATTATTATTATTATTATTATTATTATTATTATTATTATTATTATTGTTATTATACTTTGAAATTTCATTTTTAGTATCTGAAGTTTGGTGGTATTATTAATGTCTGATGTTCTGTCATAATTATTTAATGAAAATAAAAATGGCAATAATAACTTTTTAATTTAAATTTTAAACAAGATACAGGCGAGCTGACAAAATACATCATGGAGATAATCAATTTGAACATAAAGGAAAGAGCAGCTGGATGGTGTTCATGGAGAGCAGCAGAGAAATGATACTAAGACAGACATTAAGGTATTTTAAATAATAAAAATTATTCTACTTCTGTACAATGTCCATTTTTAAATGTTGCCCCTATTTTTCAATGTATGGCGTTTATTTTTTTATTATTTTTATGTTTCGGAAAGTTACTGTATTTGTATTCCCAAACTATTATGAAATAATAATAATAATAATAATAATAATAATAATAATAAACATGTTATGCCATTTGTACAACATCGAAACCAAGGGAAAAGTGAGCGCACAATATAATTAACACTTAAAATATTTTACTTTCCATTGCCTAGAATGAATTATATTGCTATTTATTGCCTAATTAAAATATATTTATATTTTCAGCTTCTTTAATTGTTAAGACGCAGGATGAAAATCAAATACTATGGTGAGATATGTTTACATCTATCCGGTTTTAATCGATATGCAAGCTACATAGAAACACATACCCTTTTAATGAAAATAAAATACTGCACATATTAACACAAAGCGCAATAACATATTTTGTTGTGCAGTACTATAATACAGTGTGAATATATTGAATTTTCTACTTATAAAGTGCAATAGCAATTTGTACAAAAATAACTGTTAGTATTAACCTGATTGCATACCTGTAATTTGGATTCCTGATAATGACATAAATAATATCAATGTAATGAATCCCTAAACTTTGAGTATGTATTATTTTATCTGTATCTGAGATTAATCAGTGGACCTTTCGGTTTAATTTGGATTCTTGTATTTTGTTCATTCAAGGTTTATTTTGTTCATTAAAAAGTGCAATGTAAGTGTGACAAGTGCGTCTCAGTTTACTATTTGATATGAGTGCGTTATCACAGTTTCATGTTAAAAGTATGCTATCAAAACATTTGTACTTTAGGTATGACAACTTTAACGTATTAGTTTTGTTCATTTCATTGTGTTAGGCTTTCAGCTGCAAATTATAATGATAAAAAATGTAATGTTTATATGTCTTCGCATAACCCATACATTTCTGGCAGCACTAGGAATTTGTAATAAAATGTATGTTAATCATTATTTTTTTTAATTTTTTTACTTTATTGAAAAATTTGATAACTTACGTGATTTGGTTAAATGAGTAATTCAATGTTATATTTTCATTTCTATGGCTTTTACATAGTGATTTTGTGGGTGATAATATCTTTTAATCAATTCACAAAAGAATTATAAATTCTCGGACACACATGTACTTTGCTATGTATTGTTTTAATGTTTGACTTTAACAAACATTTCGTTCATATTCAATATGAATAAAGGCATAGATTATATAGCAAGCGAATAATTGAATGATTAGTAAAGCATAATACTTGTAACAGTCTTAAACTTAATTATAAATTATTGTAAGTATTTTTTTCTCCATTTTCTTTATAATTTTCAAAAATTAATGGGGGCTCAGGTCGGTCCGGCCCCCATTGAATCCACCACTGGGGGGTCTTTAACACCTCAGCCCCACCATTGTTGGGGCTGAGGTAAAAAATTTATGATTATGGCACCTCTAGATGGTGGCCGGAAATAACACTCGAAGACTTAAACGAGAATAAAGATAATTCTAGTGAAACCTATAGAAAGAAAGAAAAATAGTCTTGTACGGGACAAATTGTTGACACACACGCGACGGGGAGAAACACTCAAATACTTCAAAAGCTTATAAATAGGCCTACAGTTAAAAGTCCTTGCTTGTACGACAAATTAGAGCTAATCCTAGTTGGAAACTGCTGTGATTGGTCAAGGAGTTTTGGTGGATGGATTTGGAAATGTGTGAGAGTGTGTCTTGAATTTTCTATCCCGGAAAATGTGGAACTTTGGTAATTTGGGAGGCGTGTGCGTAAGCATCCGTCGCAATTCCCCCCCCCCACCCACCGCAACGATCCTGGTTACTTGATGCAATCTCGGCATGACGTCTTGATAATGATACATTAAGTAAATACCCTTTATCTTTGTGAAATAAAAATGTTTTGTGTGCTTTCTATCTTCCCTCTAATCCTGTTAGATCGTAAATTAGACGACAGTATTCCCACTCACAATAGTGCAGTCGCAGTAGACCTACTACATGCACAAAATTCAAATTAAAAAAGAGGACCTCTTGATTAATTTTAGAAGTACTCTACATGAGGTTTGAATAGGCCTACGTCACAATTTAGTCAGCAGATTATAAATCATTATTTTTATGAATGTTAGTTTGCACGAAATATATAAGCGGACATGATTATCATGCTAAATTAAGAAACTTTTTATGATGAGTATTTCAGTAGTAGATTTAAAAAGGAGTCCGGCCGGTCTAGTACCCTTCCTATTTTTTTCTTCCACTTTTTCAGCGACGGACCGACGCAAAAACCTTGCACAAATACCAGATTGTAAGTGGAGTAGGAGTGTCATTGCAATGGAATGCTGGACGCTGGCTGGATAACAGATTAAATTATAATTCGTGTAATATTAAACTTATCGTTTAACATCCTTCTTTGTGTCCAGTTTTGTGATGAGAAAAAATTGTTTAAATGTTCATAATAATATAGCCTCTTTATAGATTTTTAATTATGATTGTTAGGAATCTCTGCAATATGATTCATTACGTCATTGGTACCTATAATTGTGTGTTTGTAAGTCAAACAAATGAAGTTTGAAATATTGAATCACAATGGCCTAGCATTTTTGGAGTTTGTTTCTTCCTATATTATTTCAAACTTAATGACCCTATGGTCCCTGAGACACAATTACTTGGTAAATAAGCCTTGCAAATCCATAAATTGTCGAAGCTTCTTCACCTAGACACTTCCTTCGCTAGAGATGAGCATCCCAACTAGCACCCTGCCCCTTCCCCAATCAGGCAAACCATGGCGTCAACACCGTACTTGACCAAATTATACGCGTCAAGAATAGTTTGAGTACTGTATATGACGACACTGAAACGATAGTTTACATGAATATCCCTGGTCTTTGTTGCGCGGCGCGCTGACTAAAGTAGACGTAAATATTATTTTGACAAAGTTAGGCTCTGTCCAGACTATCGTATTTTCTCTGACAAAAGAAAAGAATGTTGTATGCCCTTAATATTGTCATAATGTTTCCATGTATACAGTAGTTTATTATGTGATGTCATAATGACCATATATAAACATGTTACATGTTTTTTTTCAAACAAATGTTTATAGTCTGTATAGGGCTTTAGTGACAGAAGAGAAAAAACACATTAGATTGAAAGTCAATGTTTGTTTTTTATTCATCATCTAAGTCTGAGTAATTGTCGTTGTATCAAACATTTTTTTTTAATGTTAATCTGTAATACTTAAAAATCGTACTTTACAACACAGTTAAAAGGAACTCACTGTTACTGGAATGAGATGTTTTAAATTCGTACGGAGTTCATAAAGCACTACAATTTTCACCAACGAATTTTGTTTTGTTAATTTATATTTACAGCATAAAAAATACAGTAGAGAATACTTAATTAACAAATGAGTAAATAGGTTCCTATTTAATATAGGCCTACACAATTTACTTGGTTGAAATGCACGCCATCATGTCGGGATTCAATGTTTCGACATTGTCATCATCAGGAATAATTACTTGATTGGTAATGCAGGATGTAATTCAGAGGGATATAGAGCCACGTACATCGCTAATGGACCCACCTCTCTAACTTATATACATATACAGTATAAGATTGCTCGCAGTGGTACACGACGAGCCGTTATTCTTTTTCGCTTATAAACTTCATAAGCAAAGCTATATATATCTCCTACTGGACCTTTTTCCCGGAGTGTCAATCAATCTTAACAACCGACCAATCAGAACAATGAAAAGGAATACGCGCGTGTCCTATAACGCACGTGTACCATAAACGCAATGATGTGCCAAAACACTATCCAAAGTGCAGGACTCATTATACAATGGTCTTTTGGATTGATTATGGGGTACTATACTCTAAAATATTTATAATCCCTGTTTAAAGATGTATTATCCCATGCTAAAATGCCAACAAAAATCATAAAAATATTTTTTGAAATTAACTTGCCAAATTTGAAGTAACATTAAAGTTATCAACTTGAACATATAAATTAGTGTATTTAAAAAATGTCTACCCATCAGTTTACAACGCAAAATGATAGAAACACTTCTAGTCACTGGAAGTGTCTTACTATTTTTCTTATAATATTTTGGTTTAAAAATAAGGGTACACATTTTATAAATTCAATATTTTTGTATGCACAAGTTAATAATTTGTATGCTATTGCCTAATTGCAATATGATCAAGTTTATTTAAAAATTATTTTTTATGATTTGTTGCCATTAGCAAGGGACAATACATTTTTAATATAAGCAAATTATATACTGTAGATCATTTAAACAAATTTAAAAGCATCATAACCGCATAATACTTATGTGCGTTTTAGTTTACATTCTTGTGAGGTATTACCGCTACATATTTTTTGTATATTCATTGTGTATTTTACTATACCTTAATTTTCTAATTTATTCTTTTACATTTTAATATTGTATCTATATTGTTAACTAAAATAATTTGACCAAAAAAAAACAAGCAAATAGACAACAATAACAATATAAGGACGTTGACGATGATGATAATATGATAAAATAAAATTATAAATATTATAAAGATAATAACAATGATTTCTACATTTTATTTTCTAGACAGACAGATAGAATATTATAGCTTTCAAGGTTCTCATCAACCTATCCATCTTATGTGTCATGTAATTTTGATCTAAGTGACAACATTTGTTTCGTTTTCAAATCTCTGCAATGGAATTTCTTGTTTACCTCTCAGTAGACTGATTAAGTAGGTGATCGACACAATTAACCAAGAAATGCACGCTATCCAAGATGCGGTCTGAAAAATAAGAAAGCATTAGGGAATTATGTGAGAAATGTAATGTAATAATGAAATAAGTTAATTTCGTATTGTTTGTCTTTGTATTCATTATCTACTTGGATATTAGTAGGAATACATGTTCAATAAACCACGAAAACAATTACGGTATATTTACAATTTTGTTAACATAATATACATCCATAAGTAAAATTTAATTTCTCATATATATATATATATATA